CATCACCATCACCATTATCATCACTTCATCAGCATCATCACCACCATCACCACCGTCACATCCCCATCGCCATCACCCTTATACTAACAGCAGCACGAGGAGTAACTACTATGGGCCAGGCACTGAACACAGTACAGCCACTGTCTAGTCTTTCTGGCAACATCAGAGGTTAAGTAGCTCGCTCATTCCCACTGAGGCACGGAGAAGACAAGCAGGTCACCCCAGCTCACACAAGGTGATTCCCGAAGAAGGGGCTCTCTGGGAGTCTCAGCGGCTATTCCGTGAAACCTTAGCTCCTGGGGGATTTCAAAGTGTCCCCGGTCACCACCCCTACACTTATTGTGCCCAGAAATCCTTGTGCCCCAGATAGACAAGAATTGTAACCTGTCCTTTCTAAATGCTTCTCTGCTGAAGCAAAAATAAAACTTGCACACCCCCAAACGCGATTCCTAAAACCTCTCTTTGGACAACAGAACTGACTTAACAAATGCTTGTATCACTTCCTAAAACCCTGCTTCCAGGTTTGAGGAGCCCCCGGCCAGGAGTGGGCAAACCTGGGTGTGACAAGCCTCTCTGGCTCCTGGTGGCTGGACCCACCTGTGACACTGACCATCCTGGCCACATCCTGGGCTGGTGATGATTCCACGTCCCCCAGACACCTTCCCAGGGCCTAAGGGGAGCTACTCCAGTCAGGAGGATGAGTCGGGCAGTGCCTGCCGGCCCACTGAGGACCCTAGCACTTCCTCTCTTCCATCCCCTCGCCAGGAAGCCACCTCTGCTCAGCACTGCTCAGCCCCCAGAGGGGCCACTGTGGAAGGCTTTTCCCTTTCCCACGGGCCAGCATCCCTTTCCAGAATTAACATTTCTCTGCATGCAAAGCAAATGCACATATTTTCCCCCTTTTAGATTTGTTTTGCTAAACAAATTAATCTAGCACCAGATTATATTATGAAGAACCATAAATCTTTTCTGAGATAAGCATCTGTCGAGTTGGATTAGCAGCATCCAATGTACTGTGAATTAATTCGCTAAGCTTTATAACGCTGTCCCGGGTGTTTAACTTTAGTAATAACAAATGTAATTTGGAATAAACGGGAACTTGTCGTCTCATCCATGTGTGCATAGTAAGAGACGTATTCAGAGATGACAGGAAGTGTAAGCAGGATGGCTGGTGAGTTCAGAGAACTAAAAGCAAACATCTTGTGGCACGGGTACAGGTGCCCAACACATGATGGGTCACAGCCCGAGCTTCTGGGGGTCCCCCAGGAGGCCCCATGGAAGGCGGCTCTGGCAGGTCCCGGACTTCTCCCTGGGAACCCCAAGCCCAGTCCCACCCGGGTGGACCCTGGCCTCGGCCCTGGAGCTGGCTGTCAGATTCTGCTCTCATTATAGGCTGCTCTCCAGCAGCAAGGGGTGCAAAGTGAAAACAGCAGCTTCCTTGATCTGAGGGGAAAGAGAGAAGGGAGGAGGCAGGAGGGAACGGATGGAAGGGAGAGAGGGAGGGAGAGAGGGAGGGAGGAAGGAAGGGAGGAGGGAAAGGCAGGGAACCATGGGCTTTCGGATGAACTCCACCCACCCCATAAACCCTGTCCAGCCACTGCTCACTGCTTGGCTCCCGAAGCTCCCAAGGTGCCCTGGCCAGCATGCAGCCTGCTGGCCACTGGGTATGGGGGCGCTGTGCCAGCTGCTAGCAGGGGAGCTCTGGGGATCCATCCTCCTTGGCCTGGACTAAACATGCACAGCCCATCGGAGGGCGTGTGGAGGTAGCCACGTGGCACCTGCTGACCCTCTGTGCCAGTGTCTGGAAACTGGCACCCTAGCTACAGAGTCAAGAAAGACAACTGTGTGTCTAGGATGGGCTAGACACGTTTCAGGCCCTCCTGTGGACTTCTGGGTCACCAGAGGCAGAGGAAGGGAAGCTGGGGTGGCCGGGAAGGACAGAAGATGGGTCCCTGAGCTCTGCGTCCTGGCTGCTGGGACAAGAACAAGGTCTATCCCCAGAGATTCACAAGGGCTCCTCCTGCTGACGCAAAGAAGGCGGAAGCCCGGGAGGAAAAGGACAAAGCCACGCAGACACGGGTGTTTCCAAGCCCTGGGGCCGACGGCGCACACAGTGGTGTGACTGCGGCAGAAGCACAGCCCAGCCGGGTCGGCCCTGTGCCGGGTACCACGTCTGCAAAGCTGCAGGTGACAGCTCAGAAGTTCCTCCTCTTACCTGGGCTCAGCCTTTCCCACAGTAACGCCTTTCCCTGCCAGGAGCAGGCTCCACCGGCAGCCACCCCCACTCAAGGCCCACGCCCTGAAGGTCCCGGGCAGGTACAGCGCCCCCTCTAAGGCACACGAAAGGAAGGAGGGCAGTCCTGGCCTCTCAGCTCTGCCTGAATTTGCCCACACACAGGGGCATGCGTGTCCACAGACACAGGGTGTCCGTCTGTCTTGGAGCCACACCCCAGCTGCCCAGCCTGTGTCCCTGTACAGCCCGCCTCCCCGGAAGCACGTAAGAGCCTCACAGGACCCTCCCGCCCCGGTCGCCACCTGCCTGGCCCGAAGCACCGCTGCGGAGCAGGTGCCTACCTGAGGTCTCGCCCAGAATCCGTGGGGGGTTGGTGCTCTTTCCGCCGCCGCTGGGACTGGGGGAAGGCTCCGTTGTGCTGACCCCTGCGGCGACCTTTCCCCTGGGCTGCAGGGACGCGGTGAGGCCGCGGGTCTGCAGCGTCATGGAGCTGGCCGTGGTGGTCGTGGTGCTGGCCGCCACAGTTGTCTTCCGCGTTGGCAGGACGGAGACGGTGGTGGGGCCGTACAGGCCTGGGAAGGTGTTGGCCTCAGGGGCCTCCTCGTCCCCCGTGGGCCCCCAGGCAATGAACTCTGTCTCTGTGGTGGGGCGGCCGCCCCGGAAGTCGAAGCTGTCGAGCGCGGTGTCCTGCGCGTGCCTCCGGCCCCGCTTCAGCCGGCTCTGCTGCTCCGCTGCCCCGCCGGCCGCCACCGCCGAGGACGCGGACGACGGCGAGGAGGCCAGGGAGGAGCCGGATTTGGTGGCAGCCGGGGGTTTGGTGAGGCCTCCCCTGGGCACGAGGGCGGCCACCTGGTCCCTGGGCCTGTGGGCCCGCCTGGCACGGGACGCCTGCATCTGCCCGTGGGCCCGCTCCGCGCGGGGCACCCGGGGGCTCCACATGGGCGTGGGGGGCCGGGATGGCTGTCCGCTCCGCAGACTCCACAGGCGTGGGGGCCGCTGGGCCGGGCGAGGCGTGAGCCGGAACTCGGGGCCCGGGCCCAGCGACTCACAGGACGGGAAATCCACAGCGAGCTGCAGCATGGCTATCAGTATCCAAGCATGGCTTCCAAGGGAGCGGCCCGGCCAGCGGATGGACATGGAGCTGCGCGGAGAGAGGACAGCAGTCAGTCACGGCCAGCCACGGCAGGCAGAGGGTGCCGAGGGCACAGGGGCTCCTCCCCAGGACAGGGTCGTCCTGACTTCCCACAGCCCTAACCCCGCGAGCCGCCCCAGGCATTCCCAGAGACCTGCATCCTGCTTCTTGGCCCAAGAGCTCATGGGGCACTGGCCAGCTAATAAACAAAACCCTTTCTTAGGAAGAGGAGGGAGGTCCACACCTCCAGGGTCAGCCTCGGCCTAACGAGGTGTCGGTGAGCATCAGCCCCCCACCTGCCTTTCTCCACAGGGGACCTAAGGGGACAATGGTAGGACCTGCTGGGCTCTGGGGCCAGGTGCAGCTCAACCCTGGGCACGGTCGACTCCAGCCAGCAGACTCTCCAGCCGGCACCACGCGACTTTCAGAGCGAGAGCCACGTGGTGGGGCTCCGAGGATGCCAGCCCACGTCCCCTCTTCTGCCAGCGGGATAATTGAGGACTGATTATAGGTGCCACTCAAAGTCAGCTCTTGTCACCAACCTCGCGTCTGAAAGTTAACATGAATCCCCAAACTTCCAGGCAGCTAGGGTGGGGGCACGGGGTGTGGGGTACACAGGGCCACCGTGACCAGCTGTGCCAGGCAGGCTTACCATGTTAATTGGCCAGAGTGTGGACCTTCAAAGGTGGGTGGGTTAGTGTGAGCCCATGTGTGTGTGTAAGTGTATGGGTACAGCTGCATTGGTACGTGTGTGTGCTAGGTGTGGGCATGTGCGTGCAAGCTGAGTGTGCTGGTGAGTGTGTCGGCACACCTGGGTGTGTCTGTGAGTGTTGCTGGGTGCGAGATGGAGTTCGAGGTCTTGGTGTTTATCCCCATGTGCGCTGTCAGTGAGTGTGCATGCACACCTGCGTGTGTTGGCATGTGCAGCTGTAACTCTGTGTGCCTGCATCTCCTTGGCTGTCATTGCCGCCTGGGAGACCGTCGCTGAGTGAGGTGGTCCCTGAGGGTCATATGAGGAAAGGGACCCAGTAATGAGCACTGATTACCAAAAGGACTGAATTCTCAGTAAGACCCTGGCCTTTTCGTCAGAACCACAGTGCTTTGCGGCAGAAGGCGGGAGCCACTGGGTGTCCTGACCCCCCCCTCCCCTCTGTCGGCACTGTCAGCTTCTCAGGAGCAGCCCAGCTCGGGGCCGGGGCCGGGCCCAACTTCATCATGTGGGGAAACTTTGGTCAGTGAAACTGGCCCTGCACACCCACGCATGTGAGGCATGCATGCCCTGGGGCCAGGCCCCTTGAGCACACACCACTCGCGTCACACCCACAAGGAGAGCTACGAACGACATGGGCTGCAGGTCACCTGGAGGATGGGACGCCCCTGATCTTCTGTCCTGCCCCTGCCTGCAGGTCTGGAGGGACTCAGTCCTGGGGAGAAGCAGAGGCTGCTCTGAGTGGGGGAGGCTCCCCTGGGCTCACGGGGCCCCAGCAGGCACTGTCAGGCCCCTTGAGACCCCACTAGTGTCCTCCAGGCTGACCAGGGCCACTAAGCCCCGCTAAGCACCCGTAGGCCCTACCAGGGCAGCTGCACCCACAGCGACGGACGGTAAGCTGCCTGTCACCAGCACTCGGAGAAATATCACTCCAGGAAATGAGAAGCACAGCGCCTCAGCCCGGGCCTGCCTCCCTGGCATGCCTCCCCAGCATAACTTCGCACACAGGATATTTCTGTGATTTTTTTTCACCGATCATGGGCTGTAATTGGTTACCATAGAAACCCCCTCATTTCCAAGACACCCAGCTGTTATGCAGAAAAACCCAACCGTGACAACGTGGCAGGGGAGGCAGATCTGCGTCTCCTCTTCCAGTCCAGCTTGCTCCTTTTTAGTGCTGCATTTGCTCAGAGGGAAAACAGCAGTGGAGGAGTGGACGGGCCCCCCCCCGGGCCCCCCCACCCCTGCAGTGAGGAATGACCCGGCAGGGGCAGGGGCAGGGACAGAGTCAGGGGCAGGGGTGGAGCAGGGGCAGGGCAGGAACCCTGCTCCTCCGGGCACATCGAGACTGACGCCCAAGGCCCCATGTGCCACCCAGAGCTGCCTGATCCCAAGATACTCAGGAAGGGCTTCCCAATAAGGGCACAAGCAGAACTAGCTGCCCCTCCAGCGACCCCCAAGCCCGCAGGGCACTGCGCCTCACCCTGGGGCTGACCTTGAAGCGGGGCAGGAGCCAGGATGCCCTCTGTGGTCTCTGGGCCCCTCTCCCTGCAGAATGGAGCCCTCAGGGACTCCAGATACCCCAGGAGGGAGGACTGCATGCAGCTGCTGGCCACACTGTCACCATCGCGTGAGGTGTGAGGCATGCGTGCCCTGGGGCCAGGCCCCTTGAGCACACACCA